ATATAAGTATTATTATGTATATACTTCCGTAGTAGCTTGCCTCTGAAAACCTTGTGAACCTGGAAAAAGGATGAAAGTCACACAAGTGTTGAGAACTTTTGTTCATAGGATCGCTATGAATCGCTTACAACTTGATGGCACTTAACAACAATAACATCAACATAGAGATCAGTTGGCCTAATGGACAGAAAGTGATGTTACCAAGCCAAAGATGGGTGACTTCTAATCAATGGCACTCAGGCCTTTTTTTTCCTTGTTTTTGTTCAAATATTCTTCTAGGTCGTATAGCCCTGGCGTGTCCACTTGCTTGCTGTACAGAGTTAACTTGTGGATGTTGTGAAGCTGAACACTGTGACACTGAAGTGTCAAATGCGATAATGATTATCCACAGTGGACAGCGTTTGGTGGCACTCCCTGGTTGAAACAAGTCTGGAAGCAGGAGTGGCATCCACTTCCGTAAATAGCTTGCCTCCAGAAACCCTATGAACCTGGAGAAAGGATGAAAGTCACACAAGTGTTGAGGACTTTTGTTCATAAGGTTGCTATAGTCGCCTACGACTCGACGGCACTTAACAACAAGAACAATTATGTATAGGGAACACTGGTGGCCTAGTGGCAAGAAGCTGTGCTGCAATCCCAAAGGCATGAGGTTCGAATCCACCAGCTGCTCTCTGGGAGAAGGATGGGCTATCTCATCTCCTGTGATTAAGTGCCTCTGAAAACTCACTTGAGGTTCAGCTATGGGTCATTTCTGACTCCACGGTACACAGCAGCATAATTATTTATATTATTATTTTTGTCGAATTTAGCATTCATTATACAATGTAAAGTTGATTTTAATCTTTGATGCTATAGTTGTTTGAGCTGAAAAGAGACCCTGAGAAGTGTAGAACCATATAGACTATTGAGTTTCAGAACAGTTTTGCTCTTCCTGAGTTTCTAATGTCATTGTGTACCTATGAATCAGAACCCACTCATAGGGAACCCTCCAGGGGGATTTAGAGGCAGCTGGTGGTTTCAAACTGTTTGTCTTCAAGATTGCAGCACGCATTCTTACCACTAGGCTACTGAGTTTCTGATCCTTGATAGCATAGGAAGTGGCTTTCAGAGGCCACTCAGCTGACTATGTTTCCAGGTCAGGGTGTTGGCCTGAAGGAAGAGAATGTGATGTGATGTAACATCTTGTTTTCTCCTGAAGAAAAGGATTAGATAAAAGGCAAATAAAGCTTTTAATACAGAATAATGGGATCTGTGTTCACAGTTGAGGACCTGGAGTAGGCACTGATGGCTGAGTGGCTGTGGGCTTCTCACCTAATGAGGAGTGATACCTATTGGGGTATCATTGTGATACCCCGATCACATTGTGAGCTGGAGCAGACTGACTCATAGCTGACCTGCCATTGCATTTCCAAGGCTGTAAATTGCTCTGGAGGATTTCTCTCACACAGTTGCTGGAGAATTTGAGTTAGCAGTGTAACTCCCTATGGACTAAATTTCAGCTACCAAGCTATGAAATACTCCTTCCAGGAGCGGCTTGTCAGGCTTGCCTTTTAGAATTGGGAAGAGGGCTGGGATATGAGTGGGAGAAGGAGAGAAAGAGAATCACTGGGTTGCACTTGAGTGCTGGTTGCCTTGGACCTGCTCGTGTAGCCCTCAAGATGGAAAGTGTGGAAGTGTTAATGAAAACACTTCTTTTTTTTAAACTTCATAAAGATTAGTCTTTAAGGGCAGCCAAGATTTACAGTTTTGGGTAAGCAGGACTTTGAAAAAGAAAATAAAAATAGAAACAATGTTCAGGTTTTTAGAAGAAAAACTGAGTTTAGGGTAATGATTCTATAACAATAATGCTGATACTTGAATGGATAGCAACAGGGAGGGCCTTTTAAAAGTCTAAATTTTGTTTGTTGTGTGAAAAACATTCACACTAGTTTCTTTTTTCTTTTTTAAAAATTTATTTTAATGGAAGTTTAAAGTGTCTTTGGATTTCCATTCGTCCCTTCATTGCTGCACACTTTCCTCCCTGCCTACCCCTCCCCCCAGTTCACTTTTCTCTTTGAAAAGTAAACAAAAAATTCTTTCATTGTAATACAATCCCCTTCCCCCCAGTCTACTCCACTATGCAGCTTTCATTCCGGACTCTTGTCATGACAATAATACCTAATCATATATTCCTTCTGAACAGTTCTCTCTCATCTGTTTCAATGCAGTGTACATTATTTATCCCCTCTTAGTTTTCCCCCAATTCCAGTGTCAGTCATGCTTTACAATAGTGGCACTATGCAGTATTTGTCCTTTGTGAATGAGATATTTCACTCCAGAGTCACCCATTTTGTATATTTCATGAGTTCCTTATTTTTCAATGCAGCGTAGTATTCCATTGTGTGAATATACCACAGCTTTTCTTATCCATTCGTTTGTTGATGTGCACTTGGTTTGTTTCCAGCTCTTTCCTATTGTGAGCAAAGAACTCTTTGCTGTTGTGAACAAAGCCACAATAAACAGGGGTGAGCATATATCTGCTTGAGTGGCACTTCTGGTTTCTTTAGGATATATTCCCAGTACTGGAACTGCTAGTTTCTTAAGACTTAAAAGTCATTAAATTAGCTTTTATATTCTTGATACTTCTCACATATTTAAAGTTTTTATATCTGAGGGCTCTATGACTCAGGGTCCCCCTGTTTGCTCACAGCTGTGTCCCTGGGCTCAGCTGTAAGCCAGGCACAGCTTGGTTCTCAGAAAATGTTGGAGGGGATGACTAACAATACAATTAAAGGCTATGAAGA